CCGAGCTGTGGGCGAAGGCTCCCTGCATCGCGGCAGCCGCGCGCTCCCGGCGGAAGCGGTCCTGCGTGGGGTCCAAGAAAGTGTGAAGTTAAGCAAGTTTTGCTTACCGAAGGACTCGGCTTGTATTAAGAGTACCTATTGACTCCCTCTCCCAGAGATCGGACTCTTTCCTCTCAGGATTCTTTCAGATGCCCTCTGGTCCGGGCGTTTGCGCTGTCCCGGACCCTACCCTGAAGCGCTGGTGCTGGAATTCTGGGTGGAAAGCAGATGACAAGGCAGGAGGCAGGAGTTAGTGAAGCATCCGTAGGGCAGCTCGGTAGCTCTCAGGTCTGATAATTGTTCTGCTCCCTGGCGAGCCAAGCCTGGTGGTGAAGGAGCTTCGGATACCTACTGCATCCTCGACCCTAGATGCATCCTGGACGATTAAATGGAAGAGCTTTGGAGGGGGAAGCAGGGAAGCGGCTATCTATCTCTTCAGATACCACATCTGTGGGAAGAGGAGTGAGTTCCTGCAGGAATGATTGGACCCTTTTCTTACAGCTAATTAAAACTGATTACTTGTAAATATGTACGATTCCCCGTGGCTTGGGTGCTCTTATATGCAGACGCTGTTATTATTTCATCACATCCACCACCACCACCACGCTTCAATTAAATATGTCACTGGTGTTGCTCCAGCATGTTATCCATTTTTTAAAAGCTGTGTTATGCACAGCTTTAAGTACTAATGTGTTTTGAACTCAGGACCTTACGTTTGCGAGGCACGCAGTGGTGCCACTGAGCTAAATCCCCGTCTAAGTATTAAGGTTCTTAAAAGTGTATTCCCTGGTGCTGGTCTACAGAGTTTTCTTTTACTGGTGTGTAATATTGAGAGTAAGATTTAGAAACGTTTATAGCACCTTGACATTGCCAGAACAGGCAAGCACATTAATAAGTTATACTTCGCCCATTTTATTTGTAATGTAATTCATTTTTTGTGGGGATTTACAAAAATGTTTGTTTTACTCCTTTCAGGTCTCTATTTTAAAGATATCCTAGACTGGGTAACTTATAGGCAACAGAAACCTGTTTCCCACAGTATGGGAGACTGGGAAGTCTATGGTCATGATGTAGGCAGGTTAGGTATCTGTTGAGAACCCAATTCGTGGCTAATGCCCTCCTATCTTTTCATCGTGTCTTCATATAGTGGAAGACAGCAGGGAGATCTCTGGTGTGACTTTATAAAGGCACTAATCATATCCATATGGGCTCCATCCACTTGACATAATCACTTTCCAAAGGTACCACTATATTGTTTTGAGGGTTAGGATTTGTGAGGAACATAAGCATTCAGTTCATTGCACTACTGGTCCACGATGGATTAAACAACTAAAAGTATTTCTCGAAAATAGTTGGAGTAGCAGTTAATCCTATGTAACACCTACATTTATATCTTCATTTTTAGCCTTTCACGGAATTGTTTTCTGCTCTCACCTCCCTTTACCTGAAGAATCTCATAGGAGCTAATATCAATTGAACAATTACTTCCTGCCTGATACTGATTTAAACTCTTTTTCTATATTTTAAAAAATTCTCTCTCCACAACAACCCTGCAAGGTAGGTACTATTATTATCGTGGTTCACAGGCATCTGAGAAGCAGAACTCTGGATATCCACCCCCTCCAAACCTGTTTCCCTTCAAATTGTTCCACCCAGTTACTCAACCTAAAAATGTAGAAATCGTCCGTGTTTTGTCTCTTCGCATTCATCCTTGCATCCAGTTAATTGGCAAGTCATGTTTTCTCCACCTCCAACTACAGTTTTGTTTGTATCGCTTCCTCTCTGTTATGACCCTGATCCAGGCCACTCTCATCTCTTAGCAAGGCAACTCAGAAGCCTTCTATTTTGTCTCCTTGTTTCTTCCCCTCAACCCCGAAACACAATCCAAACAACAGCTGACTGGTCTTTTAAAAACATAACCAGATCTTGCTATGTGTTTGGTGAAAACTCTTCCAATAGGTTTTCATTGCACTTTAAATAAGCCTATAATCCTTACTGCAGCTTAGAATGTTCTGCACAATATTGTTGCAGACTCATTTGCTTATACCACACTCCCACAGACCATAGCTAAGTGTATTCTAGTCACATAGGACTACTTCTTCCACTGTCTTGAATGAATCTCGCTTACAATATTTGCTGGTCTTTCTCCCTGGAATCCTCTCCCTTTAGAACTTTACATAGCAGGTTCTTTGATATCATGCGGGTGTAGGTTCATATATCAGCTTCTCAGAATGACCTGACATGACCACATCATCTAATCAGTTCCAGTGAATTGGAGATTTCTTTTCTTTTGGATTCCTCTTTTATATACTGTAAAATACCTTCACCATCTGAATAATATTGTTTACTATGTATTTTCTTCCCCTCCTCTGCTAGAATAAAGTATTTTAGGAGATTTGCCTTCACTTTTTACTGTTTCATTAGCACCTAGCACAAAATTTGCACAAAAAGTAAAGTATTCTTTACTTTTTACTGATGGATCTTCTTGGATCCTGATTGCTGCCTATGAATATATGTGTTTCTCAAAAGTGCAGATAGACTGCCTCATTTCCTGTGCCCAGCCTATCAAAGATGGTTTCATGCAGTGGCACACATTTAAACTCAATACCAGGGTAAAGTTTGAACAACCAATTTTAAAACAAACAAAGGTACAGGATAAGAATGGGATTCTTACGTCTCTGAACTTCCCTACATTGCAATAATGGCTCTTCGGGCAACTTTTTACACATGACTACTTCGTTATTCTACCATTCTTTTATTTCTTAAAGTCAAATATAACATCTTGGAAATTTTCCTCCATGATTGCATGTTTTTGAGAAATCCTTGATGTGTTAGCCAGAATTTTAGATGATAGTATTTTAGGAACTGAAACTGATAGATATGCCTAGTTTCTAAGCAATGACTAGTAAGTAGAATGAGACTAACTCCAGTTTTAATGAACTTTACCTTGTAGAATCTGATCATTTTTGGTCTTTGTATATATGTTGGTCACAGGAAGTATCTGCAATTATCTTGACATATAAATGACTAGGAAAAAAAATTCAAGTCAAGCTTTATTGATGTTTACTATATACCTATCACTATGTCTTCTAGCTTTTTTGCAAAAAAGTAAATGATATATAAGACTATTTATGTGTGACTCAAAAATAAATTGTTCGTTTTCACAACAGGAATGCTTCTCTACTATTTATTTATTCAGAATCATTAAACGGCTGTGTGGTATCATGAAAAGTAGCATTTGATCATGGGTATTTCCACGTCATAATGCTGTGTTTTTCAAGAAGAGAAAAATCTGGATAAATCAGCGGGTTTGGTGTGATACCTTCACTGTAAGACAGAAGATTTACAAACCAAATATTTTCAGACAGAAGATATTGAAAATGAACAAAGTATGAAAATATTTACAGCACGCTTACTTATAATTAGGGGTATTTCTCATCATTAGGATAGCTGGAATCTACCTTTGAGAGTTTGGTACCCATCAAAGCTTATTTCAGGAAAAACTATATAACATTAAATTTAATTTTCTTTTCCCACCTATTTATTTATTTATTTTTTGGTACCGGGGATTGAACTTGGGTCCTTGGGCTTGCAAGGCAGGCCACCCAATCACTGAGCTAAATCTCCAGCCTGCCCATATTCATTTATTAAAAACAATGATTTTACTTCTGAAAAGTAGAGGGAAGTGAAAGAAATTGTTTGGTTGAATCCAGAAAATTTGTGACTTTTCCAGCCTTGTAAACTTGTGCAGTATGGAGCTTGCAAAGCTAATTAGAATATGACTACTTATGCACACTCTTTCTATAGTTTTAGCAAATGGAGCTTATCAGG